ATTCATGAATCTAACGTCTCCATAGTTTCAGGGTCATCTGTCCATCGTCTTATATAACACATAACATAGCCTTATTCATATTTTCCATACCCTAGAGATTGGCATGATGCATTCTTACTGCCTGTTCTCTCCCCTCCCTAACCCACAATTTTCAAGACAGATCTTCATTACTGATGGATCATTGAAGCGGATAAATACATCCATTCGGATTCGGAACGAAAGAGTCCCGTTAATGCTCCGTACCCTTTCTCTTTTTCATTCACGCATCATCACTTCTAACTTCACCTCTTCCCTGTCAACTCTCCTACTTCTCTCTCACCAACGTGACGACGCACCCGAAAAATATCTCATTCACGTGTATCAAAATCGTTAAGCTTAAATTCTTGCTCGTCATACGTTATATCACATGGGAAGCACACGCAAACTTTGTTCTATTTCCACTAATTCACTTCCTTCCACCTCACACCGGCTGGCGCAAGCTCTGAAAAGAAAAGGGAAAAGAATAAAAAATTGAACCGCAATGTAATGTAATGGCCTTTTTGTGTGTTTGTGGGTGGGCAGGCCGTTGAATTGATGTTGACAGGTTGCACTTGAGCGCTATTGCCTTCATTTTTATCCTTCCTGAGTATTCGTTACTATATCGTAATCTTTACACCGTATAAATAAGTGGAGTTAGATGACGAGGGAAGTACCAGTGTTTTTCTTCCAGTGGACAAAGGAACAAGCATGAGAAAAGAGCGTAGTCAAAACCCACAAATTCTATCGTCAATTCTTTTCTTAACTTGCTCGTCACCACACACTTCTTAATCCCGCTTGCAACTACGTGGATATATATGCTTTTCGCCATCACTTGGCCAACTGGCCCGGGAGTCTGTCAGCATCTGTTGATTGAGTAGAATGCAAGTGACCGGTAACGCTATAATGCTGCTAGTCGCAGCTCGAACGCATTCCTATTACGGGTTGTAGATAAGGCTTTGGATGGCCCGGATTTAGTGAGATACATACTTGTGATAATATTAGGATGAGATTGATTCTCTTGTATTTTACTATCTTGTCGCATGTACATGTAGGTTTGGAATTATATACTTCTGACTGTTCAAGATGTGAGGGTTGAAAAGCAGTTAACGTTGATGGTAGGCAAGTAGCTGTTTCTTGTTTGTATGTGTTCATTCCATGGCTCGCCTCTGAGAGGGGGGAAAGGGGGTAGCTTCTCTATTGCTCAAGGAATAGAAACAATTGATAAAGAGAAGTAGCGCTTAAATTGATATACCGTTCTATACCGATCATCTGGCTACCTCTCATAACTTGGGGAATACATAAGAGGATATTATCACAAGTCACTGGATCACATGAGAAATGCGAGAATAGGATACTTATCTCAAAATGATATGGCAATATATGAGATATATTTGCGCACTACGGAAGCTATAGAAATGGAGTGGAAGTAGGGATAAAAAATTGATGTGACGGTCAGTTGAAGAGACATGAAAAGACCTATATAACTGACGAGCCCACAGAGCTCTGCAGTCACTTCGATCGGATGATGGCAAGATATAGCTTTGGACGATAGCCCTGTGTTCGGATGATATCGTTAATATCAAGACCCTAATTCTTGAAAAGACTACCGACATTGAGATTTTATGCTAACATGATATGAAATAAAGCTGCAATTTTAACAAGAGGTCTTTTCACAATCCTAAGTGGGAGATGATATGTGTAAGATGTATGAAAGGGTACAGGATTTGTATGGGCAGTGAGTGTATGTTTATACTTATTTCGAGATGTCAAGTGGCATAGATAGTTGGCGAAGGGTATTGTACAAGGACTTAGAAATCAGTATTCGTCTTGGATTCTTCTAAGTGGAGGGATTCGAGATTCAAAATGGGGATCGTGTATGAGTAAATTGGGATGATGTTCCGAAAATAAACCACAGATTCATCTACACATAAATATCTATAGGGTTGAGATTAATTTTTATAAAAGCAATTTCCTTATATACACTTAATATTAAACATTAAAACTTCAGATTGATATCCCCTTTCTTTAAACTTGCAAAAAAATCACTCAAACCACGCACAAACCATAGGATCATCTCTAACCGTCAAAAATGTCAACGGAAGCTTCTTCTCCTTTCCCCTCTTCCTCTGCACATCCCTCGCTCTCGAAATCGAATGTCCATTCACCATTTCCCAATCCTCCTCCCTCATGCTCTTATCAAATTCAAATCTCTCCCCCGGTCTCCCTTCAAACGCCTCACAAACAGAACCATGTTCATATGCATACCGCGAGACTTTATCCTGATTCTGAGTTGTGCCATCCGAGATTGCGTTCTGCCAATTAAATTCCCGCGGCGACTCGCCGGAGCCGAGATCCTGCCAGCGAGTGAGATAGAGAGCATCGCCCCCTTCCTTGCGATCTTGCACCGCGACGTGGTAATCCGTCATGCAGTAATCGCACGATTGGAAACGTGGCAATGTCAAGGATCGATTGGAGACGCTGAGCGCGCGCCCGCGGAAATCGTAGGAACGGTCCCATTTGAGATGGGGACAGATGGGATAATCCCAGGATACACTAGCGTCTGGATCTTCGTAGGAAGAATAGTGATGGTTGGCGGGGAGTAGTAGGATTCTTTGCCTGCGAAAGATTATTGACTTTGTCGTGTGCGAGATTCGCATGGTCTCGCGAGAACACTCGACTAATTGAGACGTTGGGCTCAAGGAATTAATGGTTAGGTCGTAGAGAGAGATTGAGAGAGAGATGTGGCGTTGGTGATAACGTTTCATTGCGGCTTGTAAAACGTGGAAGCTCACATATCCTCTTAAGAGGGGTAGAGCGTTATCAATATGAAAAGCGCACGATAATTCAAGCAACCTCTGACTATTTGCAGTACCGATCATGTGGAGTTTGTTGCAGGGATAACATGTAATATAATTTGGAAGATCGCGTGCGAGTATTTGCAGGAAGTTGTAGCGATAGCTTCGATAGAGTTGGATGTTTAAATTACGCTTGTACATATCATGGACGGGGAAAGAGGCAGCCCTGTAAGGGTTTTTGAGGGCGTCGACGTATTTTGATCCGAGTGTGCGCCACAAATCTTTGCAGGAAATACTCAATAAAGCTGCGGTGTCGGGTGGTAGAGAATCGGCGAGGCAAGCTAAGACGTCGATTGTTAATTCGCAAATGTTTTTAGGTTTGGGAGTTTGCGGCGCGATATCAGGTGCGTTCGTAGATGATTCAAGGGTCAATAAGCGAAAATCCAATGCGAGGGCTGGGTTCTCGATGAATGAAGTTACTGGAGAGAGTGATTGTTTATCGTCTTTGGAGATCCTTGGATTTTTCTCCGGTAATGCTGCTGTGTCCATACCGACATCAGGAGATTTGGAGTTTCCCATAATGGATATCTTTTGGTGATAAATGAAGAGTGCACTAGAAGAATGGGCTATAAAGTGATTGGTTAAAGTGATCGATATATCAAGAGATTGAAATGTCGAGTGATTGAACTGTAAGTAACGAATGTATAATGTTTTGACCTGCAATAGTGTTTCCTGAGGACATGGGAAATCATCAATATTTATAGTCTGAATCGAAAGTATCTAGTCATGTACTAAGAAGTAAAAAAGACCATATATGATCATCGATACATCATACTTTCAACGGTAAACGCGCTAGACTCACTAGATCAAAGCTGTCAGAATTAGCCTCCAACATGACCATGGCTTCTACCAGCAAGAAGTCACGAGAATATCACTGCTCGGTGTCCAAATTGTACAGGAGCTTCAAACAAGTTTCTGTGTCCAAAATTCTCATGAAATATATACTACAAGAAAATCGAGAACGGGGAGTTTTATTGGGATATTCAACAGGAATGGCAAGAGCTGCTTCAGGTATGTTCTGGGTATTCAAGCCTCCAGAGGTTCCTGCCTTTCTTTTACTATACATGATGACGCGATGTCAACTTACCATTGTGGGCTCATGCGCAAAGGTGATAATTAGACGAGAATGAAGGGGCCATACGTATGAGGAAAGAGGTCAAATTTAACCACTCCATTAAGTTTTGGAATAAATCAACCACAAGTAAAATTATCAGTAGATACCTAAAATAACACGTGTTATGTGCTTACCGTAGAAACATGAAAGTTAATAGTGTTAGATAAACCCATATAAAAATCTTCAGTCATGATGCTATCTAAACCTTTAATTCCTCGAATGAAGCTAGAGCATTTAGATCGTTGTAGGGTTGCGCTAATGGTCAAGTCCGGGGGTTTTTCCTCCTACGAATAGGGCAAGCTCGATGTACTTGCTTTCAAAATCCTGAACTAGTAGTTCTAGTTCCTCAATTTGTGCAGATTCTTCCTCTTGAATATCCTGATTGTCTCCGATATGGAAAGGTGTGAAGTGATGAGGAGGTGAACCTTCGGAGTAGGGGTGATAACACAGCAGGTATGCGTAAGTTCTAAAATCGTGAAAGTCGCAAAGCGAATTATTTCGGGGCCCAGTATTTTCCAGGCATCGTTATCGGTACCTATAAATTGGAGCAGAAATATAATGGAAGCACGCATTATCCAGTAAGTCGAATCAAGAGAAAATCCTTTTTCACTCAGATCAGTAAAAACACTCATGATCTCCTCTTCATCAAGCTCCAAGGTATTTTGCTTGAGTAATATGGTGAGTGCTGTACATCCCAATTTTGAACATGCGCGTATACATGGATCAGCTGTCGAAGTTGTTAGAAATCTAAACATGACGTTTCTGACCTCGGGCTGAGAAGATCAATTTTCAGGGCCACCATTTTGCAGTAGATTTATTTCTTCCGTTGTGATAACCAAAAGATCCTTGATAAGAAGACTTGCAACAATGAAGTGAGTGGCTGGACTCCATGAAATCCTTCGGTCTCCTTGCAATATTCTCTTTGCGCGGTGAAGATCTGCTCCTTTCTGTATCAGCCACCAAAGCAATTTGAACTTGTTCATCATCTCACTTGGGGATGTATCGTGATCGGTTCATGTTAACATCAACAAGGTTCTCTTGGAATCAAAACAATGGTACTCTTCTATCTCACGAAATCCAGCGTTGTAAAACATTTCTGCTATCTCAACTCTTGGCATTGCATATTCTCGGAGGTATATATCGTACACGAATAGTAAATGATATGTTAACTCGTATTCCTCGGGGACCTGTAAAGCTGGAGGTATATCAACTCCAAATACCTTCAGAAGAGCGCAGGTAGAGCTTGCGTGAAGATCCAATACTTGATCACCTGAGATTGGAAGTCTATCCGCTTTTGAGGTTTGCAAGCTCTGAAAGGCTGATTGGCAGAGTCGATTTCTGCGATCAACGAGAGAATTTATCATGCAACTTATAACTTCCTTTAAGCTCGAGCGCAATGCGTCAAGGAAAACGTCCTCGGCACGAAAAAATAAAATATCTTTCAATGTATCATTGTTCGTAACTGCGCGGAAAGAATGTAGCGGGCTGTCGGCATTTAGGAGTAATTGGACAGCTGGCAAACACTTTGAGTACAAAGCATAAGCGACAGGAATATATCCCATGCAGTCTTGTTTGTTGACGAAACTGTGACCGCCTATACGCAAGAGATGAGATATTCCAATTGGCCAATCAGAAGATAGATGTAGTGGAGTCTGACCCATGGTATTCCGCTCATATGCACTATCCGGGAAGTTGGCTAGAATTTGTAGCATTCTGTCTTCTGATCTCTGCAAGATAGCAGAACTAAGAGCTCCACAGTGAAAACCTAAATTTGTCAGAATTTGTATAACTTGTGAGTAGGATTGCCGAACCAAGTATTTCGGGAACATCTCGAAAGCTTGAAAGAGACATCGCTAGATGCCTACAATAATTATCCCACCACTGGAAACCTGAAACGACTAACTGATTATCTAACCAGGAATCAGACAGTTCCAATCCCATGCTATCTATCAATTTTAAACATAGATCAGGTACCCCTGGATGATAGTACCCAAGAACCTTGGAGCCAAAAAGAATCTCCAGGGGGCGTCTTTGGAACATACAATTAGCAGATGGTCTATTGAAGATTAAAGATGCATAATAGCCTACTCTCCGTTGGTATTTGTGTCATTTACCATAGTACCTGGGATATTGGCGACAAGAACCTCAGGAAACGTTTGTAAGATTGAAACACTTCAGTATTTGTAAGTTCCAGATCTTCAGCGATTAAACAAGCCATCTTGGTTATTTGTTAGCTATGTTAAATGGTCTAATCTGAAGTCCAAGAGAGCCACATACATACATGAAGAATAGATTCGCCACGTCTATTGACGTCGTTTAACGAAGCCTGGCCGTTTGCAAGCATTTTCCCAATTTGAATAGTGACATCATCCATATCCAAAGAAACTCCAATAGAATCTACCTTGTATGCCCTTCCTCGAATGTCGTTCATAATTTGAAGACTGGTAACTTTGAAGATACTATCCTACGAAAGGTAAGATTCGGAGAAGTTGAGAGTAGAGACCCTGCTGTGGAGATGATACATAGCCTCGCGCGAAGAATTCCTGACAACAACCGACTGCACTGAGAATAAGTGAGTTCCCAGGTATTTTTCCTTTCAAAATAAGATCTTGATGGGCAATCAGGCCGGCGACAACCATAATTTGTTCTTGATCGTAGAATCTGCAAAGATCTCGTCGAAAAGGACCAGTAGCTATGTTTTCCTTCCAAAAGAGCCGGTGATTGACAGGGGCATTCATTTTTTGCAACTTTGCGTATTGATGTTTTGAATGCTCGCTCGTCACTATCAGGAACTAGAGCTTTCGAAGAAGTATTATCCACAGTCGCCGCTAGCTGTCTTTGATTCGAATTTAATGCTGGCGACGTTGCTTGTTCGACGATTTCCGGAACGTCTTGCAGCGCCATTCTGACATTTGGAAGTTCTTGAACCATGTACTGATTCAATGATCTAGATCTGATATCATTTTGAAGATGTCTGTCCATGACGTCTTTCAATGTTGGGAGAATGGCATCAATGTGCGTGAAACTCGCATTCAAACTTTGATGTTCCTTTGCAATGAAGTCTATGCCAGCCGTTGTAATAGCCGATGTTGTAACAATACTTGATGTCTGCTCCGATAATTTGCAAGAGACCTCACTTGAATGTGGTTAGTAGTATACTAGGCTTATTTAGAGACTTTCCATAGTCATTGCGATAGCTAGCACAAGTGGTAACACGGAGTAGTGAAACCAAGAGTGATACACCGGGAATAATCACGTGGCGAAATCGTCTACTTACAGTTGCAGAGCCATGATAGCCATATCCACATTAGCCTGTAGCTTGCAGACGATATTCTCTAGTCTTTGCAGGGTGGCTTGACGGAAAGGAAAGATCGCTTTCTTGCCGAGGAAACAGATCTTTTCTCTCGTACCAAAGGGCACACTGAGTTGACATTTCTGAAGAGTTGTTTCGAGAGTCCTGATATTGTCTGCGCATGAGGCGACGGTAGCGGCAACTAGGGTTACAGCTGATGTGTGATTTGAATGGAGGCTTCCCAGGCTTGCTTGTAAATCTTTGAGCGTGGTGTGAAGTGCTTGCGTTCTTTGCGCAATACCGTCAATTTCATCAGCTTCCGAGGTCATATTTGATATTGAAGTAGGCTATGCAACTGCCACATTCGAGCCACATAACTAAATCCTCCAGCTGATTTAGTAATTACCCCTACATGCTGTACGACGTTATCGCACCCGCCAGGAGAGTTGCACATCAGTCTTCGGTAAGCTTGATAACAATGTACTTTTCAGACAATTCGAGAAACTCACATGGACTAGACTTTTGAAAGGTTGGTAAACAAGCGATGAGATGATTTTTAATATTTGACGTCGAGATGCTCTTAAATTGTGGTTCTTTTCCCACGTATCGTCATTAGACCAACCCCGATAATGCCATCCCATGTAATCTTGTTCTTTCGGGGTACGTTTCTGGTATTCTACTCAGCGTTGCATTTCGATATACAGGAAACCTTAACCGAAAATCACTACTGAACCTCTTTCACAATAACGGGAAATCATTTGTATATCTTGTAAAGTTATCAGCAATATGGTCTGCTATCTCATTATACACATGTATACACCACCTAGATACTTTTTGCTTTTGGACGTCCTATTACATCCTAGCTCCAAAACGCCATGTCCATCCATATGCATTGAGTCTACGCTTGACCAGCTCTCGTTCAAAATCATATTACTCATCTAGTACCTTCCCCCTCAATATAAGGACTTCTTCTCCCACTCTTGATCGCCCTCTAATCTCATTGGCAAGTCCGTTTCCCAGATAGGTCTTTCTATAATTGCCACTTCCAGTCCGTTTTCACCCCCTTCACCAATCTCCACCATACCAAGTATTGGTCTATACTTGAGCGTCTTGTAAGTTTGAGCTGGTCCACCAAACTTCTCATCTTCGCTCTTCTGCGATTTTTTCCTTAGCAGTGACTTTGGTTCCCTGTCAATTTCATCGTCTTCCGAATCAACGTCCATATCGTATTTGCTATTGTGGATGTCGATCTCGGTTTCTTGAGTCTCTTCCTCGTGGATGAGTTTGCGGATTTTACGAGACATTCCTGTCTCGTTCTCTTCTGGGTCAATCATACCACCAGCTCCGGATTTACCCAGTTGGAAGCGCTTGCGTTTGCTTCCCGAATTCTCAGCATCTCCATCCTCCTCCACTTCTTCATCCTCAAAATGAAAATCTTGTGATAAATCGAACATCCATAGCCAATTGATACCATGTAACCACATACGCTCGCGACCATTTGAAATATCCCATAAACAACCTCTTGCCAAATCTGCGACTTTACGGAATGCAAGAGGGAACGTTGAAGTAGGATTCCTGCGAGACCATGGTGTGAGTGAGCCAGCTAAAACTTCAAATTCATAGACCTCATTAGTGGATGTGACAATGACTAAACGATCCTCGGCAACTGGTAGTTCATGAGATACAGGACGTGGATTATTGCGTGTAGCAGGAGGCGTGGCTCCATTGATTTGTACGGGTAGAGTTGCAGGGCGGAAAGATAGTACAACTGGTGCAGCGGGAAGTTTTGGTATACGAGTTGCAGACGGGTTTCGTGTCCAGTGTTGACCGAAAATCAGTTTTGGTTTCTTCCGTTCTTCAGCATCGGAACCATCGTCAGATTCATCATCAGATTCGTCGTCTTCCTCTGCTTCCTCCAACTCTTGCGTAAGATCTTCGATTCCTTCCAGAACCCAAGTATCAACAAAACCTGCCAGGTCACTTACTACCAAGATTCGACTATCAGATGAGAATGCTGCTTGAGTGATAGTTCTTTCATATGCACCAAGACCACCTAGAAGCTTGGTTTTCGAGATATTGCGATCGAGACGAGAAAGTCTTGAGAGCTGAGGAATTATGCTAAATGAGGATGGTGAAGCATCATCCTGAATGACTCGCGCTACTGTGACTGAGCTATCATCCCGAATTATCGATATCCAGTTTCCATCAGGGGAGAATTGAACCATACGGGCCCCGGAAGAAAATGCTTGTGGTACAGCGACAGTTGATACCTTCAGACCCTCACCCTCTTCAGGTTTTCGTGCCTTGAGGCGAAATAACTTTATATCTGATATCGTTGAAACAGCGAGTAGGTTTCCCGCAGCATTCAAAGTCGCAGATGTGATATTAGACTCCCCCTTGACCAATATCTTCGCTACCAATTTGCGATTGACTGCCGCAGTCTCTGGCTCATCACCATTGATGGATTCGGAAAGTCTGTTTATGCGCCAGATGTTTATTTCTCGATCCCACCAACTCATCATCAACCTCTTTCTTGTAGAGCTTTGAATAATAGAAGATTGAGGTAAGAAGGGCAAGGCACGTTGATTCTCTTGACCCGATTGCGCAAGTGGAAGAATTGTAGGAGCAGCATCAGGACCTACGAACAAATGTTAGCATGCGCAAAAAATATTGATGAAAAGAGTGCCTACCTCCGGAAGCCACAACACTGATTCCTTGACATTCCAAGCTTGCCATGGCCTTTACATCGTGAGTGTGATATCTTCTGTGCCTGACTTCTGACCATCTCTTCTTCCCTTTGATTTGTTTGTAGACGACTGTTCGTCTATCCATACCACCACTGAAAAATGTCATCCCATCAGCGCTTGTCGCGAGGCTGAGAACGTCTTGAGTGTGACTCTTGATGTGCTGCATCATACTGTACGTTTTACCATGCCATATTTTAACTTCTCCCGTAGAGTCACCAGAAATTATGTCTCCATTTGGTAATGCTTTGACAGCCCAGACAATGATATCCTTGGGTCCTCCTTTAGGTCCAGCTCCCAAAGACATCTGCCTTAGCATTGATCCGGTCCTTATGTCATAAATTCGAATATTGCTATCTGAACATCCGGCAATAACATGGTAGCGATCCTGGAAAGCGACACTGACAATTTTTGCTTTTTTCGCAGATGGGCGGACAAGAACTTTTTGCAATTGTAGATTTTCATCCGCTGTCGAGTATAAAACCAAAGCTCCATCAACACAACCAGCAATGAGCTTTTGACACTCTCCGGAAGGCTCTTCTCCACGCTTTTGTTCCTCTGCAGGTTGGGCAGCAAGGCACCATATCTCGCCATGATTTCCACTTGCTGAACGTAATGGCTGACCTTTCACCAAATCCCACTCGGTAACAGTTGTTGTATATCCGATGCTGAAAAGTCTAGATTTCCCAATTATTTTTGTGCCATTAATTTCCTCAGTAGGATCTTGAGTCCAGACAAGTCCATCAATGCTGCGATCCTTTCCACCTCGAATGATTGTTTCCTGAAGCCATGATCCTTTTTGCGGGTTCCAGAGCTCGATATCACCGTTTGCGCGACCGAGGGCCAATCGTGGAGAAACGGCAGATTGACCTTTTGTCAAGTTCGAGTGCGTGAATGCCAATGCATTGATTGTTGACGGAGGGTATGGAACGAATCTGCAGCGGTGGATATCCATTGCGCCGATTTGATGTTAATTTCTCATTCAATTCTCAAGAGAAAAAAATATAAAAAAAGCTCAATAGGTTTTTCTGCCGGAAATTCGATTGTAGGCGGTGGAGGAGGTCTGAGTCACGTGACTATGATTACACACACAGTGCGGTCAAATCAATGTCACATCAATCTTGAGAATCTTCATTCGATTTGATGAACAGGCCAGAACATATCATCCTGCCAAGTTGGCAAGCTATGTAATAGCTGGCAGAAGTATCTTCACTCGTTTTCAATGTGTGAATTTGTAGGTGGGTTACAACAATGCAAGTGCTTTTTAGATCATCAAATGTTATATCTCTGTCAGACAGCATCTTAGGGCTAGTTTGGATGTAAAATCCGTACTGAATCCACTGAAATAATCTGTACTTTGTATCATTACGGATTCCGCGATAACATCAATTCATTTCAAAAAGAATGGATTATTAATTTGTAGTTTTATAGTTTGGATATCAAATCCGCTAAATAATCCGTGATTTTTCTAGAATATTCAATTTAAATTTCAATTCGATATTAAAATTCTATATTTAAAATTGAGAATTATGTAAAAAGCTTTAATAGAATAATAATCTTGAAAAAGTGCTTAGAATTGAAAAAGAAATATATTTTGATTTTATTTTTCTTCTTTCTTTTCTTTTTAAAAAAAGAACCTTTTTTGAAATATTTTTAAAGCTATTTTTTATATATAAAATTATTTTAATGGTTAATAATACAATCATTATTCAAAACATCTCGAAAATATTTAGGAAATCGAAAATTATTGATGATAATAGCAATTGAAGGTTTATATTTGTATAAAAAAGAGGTAGAAGATCTTGAACTCGAAGTTTCTTTCTTTTAATTTGTTATTTTAAATAAAAACCTAAATTTATAGTAAAAGCAATCAAATCTTAAAGCCAACTTCGAGATTATAATACCTTCTTTTTTTCTTCTATTAGAGATTCATTATTTAACTTTTTTTATAATAATAATATTATCTTTAATTAGAAAAAGATATTTTCTACAAAAAAGAAAAGCTATATATAAATATTTGATTCAAATAAAACTTATTTTAATTATATTAATTTATAATATATAGCAGGATTTTGAAACTAATAAAAGACTCTCAAAAAACATTGATACAAATAGTAATAAGAATGATAATAATGAAAGGGATATCGATAATAGCTATAACACCAATCAAAACCTAAAACATAATATTTATAGTAGTTTAAAAAATAAAAAAAACTCCTTTACTGATATTATTGAAAGGGAGGATAAATCAGTAAATCCGAAAACTAAAACTGAAGATATTTCGAAAAAATCTATGAATCAGTTTAAATAGAAACTCTATAAAAAGCTTCTTTTAAATTTAATGCAAAGTCATTTATAAAAGACTAATTAATAATTAGATTAATTTACTGAATAAAGAATACTTTATTATAATTAATTTACATAAGCTATTGTTTTAGAGTACAAAATATATATTAATAATAATGAGAATCTAACTAATAATTAAATTAAAAAGAAAATCAATTCAATATAAATATTCTCTTTTTTTTATTATTTATTTAATCTAATTAATTTGATTTAGATTAAAGAATATTATATAAAGTATT